CGGTTCAGAGCCTAACTGAAGCAGTGGAGGTGATGACTAGTTCACTCTGGGAGACGTTTTGGAAATAATACAATAGGAACACCTGTTTAGGAGACGGAATGTGGTGCATAAGGGAAACAAAGGAATCAAGAATTTTGATTCATTAGAAGGCTTTTAAGATGTCTTTTAGTCTGCCAAAGGCAAATGCAGAGTATGCAACTGGATGTACGAGTCTGCAGAAAAGAAGAAAGGCAGAGCTGGGAATCAGCTGGACATAGGTGATATTTAACGTCACCAAAGAAGATATTAAAGAAAGGACCAAGACTCCCAATATACTCCAAACTTAGAAGCCAAGCCAAGGAGAAATCAAAAATCTTCCCTAAAGAGAAGGAACTGTGAATTGTAAATCTAAGAAAACCAGAGAGCATGGTGTCAGATGTTTAGAAAAGAAAAGTCTCTCAGGAAGGAAAGCATGGTCAACCAGCAAAACGCTCTTATGACACGGGGTTAAGACAACACAACTGATACTGGATTTCACGGTTGATAATCTTGGTAAAAACCATTTTAGATACACAGCCATCGCCAAATCACAAAAACACACCACAAACTATCAAAAGATTACTAACTATGCAGATTCATGTATTTGACACTTTTGAGATTTTACATATTCATTAAACCATGAGGGCCCTGGTAATTTCAGAGTTCTGCATTTTTAAAAGTTCATGAACTAGTAATCACTGATACATTCAGATTCCTTTAACTAACATTTTACATTTCAATTACATCTAAGTTAAATGGAGGTTCTGGCTTAAAATTAATATAGAAAAAAATATTCTAAACTAACCTTAGTTCCAGAATTTTAAAGGGAGAATCAAAGACTAAGAATGAAGCCAAGAGTTCTTATTGCCTACTAAAAAACCTTAAATAGCAGTACTTATTTGAGAAAAGAAACAAACAGAACAAAAAAACGAATCTAGACACACTGTTCTCTTTACCCAAAACAGGAGCCCATACTACAAAGGATATTACCCAAAAAAGAATGTGATACTCCACCTTTACTTGTCGAGCTTGGCTGATGACACATGGAAGACTAAAAAGCTGTTGGACAAAGGCCTTCAACTCTTCCACTGTCAGTTTGGTCCGAGTCCTCCCACTATCTGGGCTCTGCCTGATGTGAAATAATATTGAGACGTAAGTAAGAAAAATTCACAGTCATTCCCACATCAAAGGGGTTTCTAGTCTCTTTAGAATTCTAACCCAAGAAATCCCAGAATACTAGTGTTTGAGGTATTTCACTGCAATGGTGATCACTTCCAAATTAAGTGTTTAGCTCTTCAGGTGATGACTCAAAGATTCAACTCTCCAAGTTACAGTTCCTCCAATCTCACAAGTATTAAACATTTCAAACATTTAATAAATTCCTCACAGTAAAATGTTAAGTTCACGGATAAAACTAAATCTTCTACCTCAAGAAACTTAAGATATAGAACAAAGACCTTTAAAACCTGGCTTAGGAGACTATAAACCCTCAGAAACTGATCGAAAACTATGTCAGTATGTGCATTTTTCTAAGAAAAGGGTCTCTAAGCTTTCGCCAGATCCTCCATGGGGGTCAGTGACCCAATGACAGGTGAAGAGTCACTGATCAATGTTGCTAAGAAAAGTTCTCTGATAAAACAGAATATAAAAAAACATATAAAGTAATTAGAGACCCAATGTGAACTGCTATAGAAAAAGGCATTCAGATACGAGAAACGTGTTGGCATTACTAAGAAACAATACCACAGGGAATTAAACACACGTGAATTACATGAGATTAAGGGCACATACTTCCAGCTCTGTAACAACAGCCTCCCCGGCACCCAGGTTACTCTTTGCTGCCACCTGCCTTCAGCCTGTAGTATCGTTTATTTACAAATGCTTAGTACACACCTACGCTGTGCCAGACACGCTTCAAAGCACAGCAATAAGAAAAAGGATGAAAGTCCCCAACATTCTGTTCCAGCATTACCTTCTAGTGGGGTTGGGAGAGGAAGAAGGAGATAAGATAATAAATAAGTAAATTCGTCTATCAGGAGATGACAGGGACAGGAGAAAAACAAAGCAGGAAAGAAGAATAAAAGGCTGCAATTTTACAGAGGTTATCAGAGAAGGCCTCTCCAAGAATGCAACGTCTGTAAAAGACATGAAAGAAGTGAGGGAATAAGCCACCTGGGTATCAGGGGAAGAGAACTCCAAGCAGAGCCAAGAGCAAGCGTGAAGGCCCTAAGCAGGAAGACACTGGTGTATATGAAGAACAGAGGGAGAGGGTTCAGGGTGGAGCAAGAAAAGAAGGGAGACCAGGAGACATGGTTAGGGCATTACTGGGGGAGGGAAAACACGGCCTCAAAAGACAGGGCAGGGCCTCACAGGCCAGTTAAGACTTTGCCTTTATTCTGGTCAAAACAAAACAAAACAGAAAACCACTGGAGAACTCAGCTCTTCTTAGTCTTACCTGTGCTTCTGCTTCTTGCTCAGAAGCAGCTGAGCCACAGAAGCACATGTCTCAGCTTCTTTTACAGCATCCCTGAGTTTTCGAAAGAGATCATTTTCTGGATATTTCCTATCCTCAGCATCTTCCAGCATTACTCGTAATTCAATCAAATCTGTAAAAATAAATTAAAAGCCATGCACTATGACCACAGAAAATAAAAAACCATTCACCAACCAATTAGCAGAAACACACCACAGCTGTGAAAATCTCACCACTACAATAAAAGCTTATGACCAGGTGCTCGTTTCTAATCCTTATAGACAATTTCTCTTTCTCAATAAGCCTTTAATGTTAGTCCACTGCTAACAATGGGGCTCCCAAAAATATATGATACATCGACTGCAAGTTAGCTATTTGTCCCATTTCTCAAACAGGAAATTAATTCTGTAGTGAACCAACCCATTAGTCTCAAATCTCATATGAAGCCTAGGATTTTTCCTTCCTGGAGGAAAACAAAACAACGCCTCTTTCAAAGTGACAACCATTTCAGTGTATGCTTAAAAAAGGAAGAAACTTAACCTTTCTTGTGGTTGAAGTTGGCAGATAATGCTTCTGTAACACGACTGACCCAAGTGTCATAGGACTGTGCCCTGACTTTCACACCATACAGCAGAGAAGGGAGGTCCTCTAATGGGTAGCGATATCTAAAAAAAAAAAAAAAACACCACACAAGAGAATAAAAACTTCCAAAAACCAACAACTTGAAAATAAATTAAAATTGACATACAATCAACTTAAGGAAAGTAAAATGGCCAGGGGAACGGGGTTTTGGTATATACATAAAGAGAAAATCTAAGAAGCCCACAGAGTTTTAATTCAGGGAGAGACAGGGAACATGTGAAATCAACCTGATAAAACAACTAACTTTAGGTGCCAAGTTTAGGGCCAACTTTAATGGGCTGGTCCTCAAGCAAGGAGGCAAACAGACAAGAGGTTACCAGTGCAAACACAGGGAAGGGCTTTACAAAGGACAGCACTGACATTAATTTTAAAAGACGGTAACAGAAGTTTTACAAGAAACTTCTGGATACCTAAGACATTTTTTCTGCATGGGGCAGGGGCACAGATCAGTTGGATGGTAGAGACACACAAGCCGCTCAGGATTACAGGAACACGTGAGAGCAGAGAGAAAGCAGGTGGTTCTGCATGCTGAACACTGCCGCTCATCATCGGGAACAAGTTCAAACACTTCTTCTTCCGACATCAGGACACCCTGAAATACAGCTGATGTCACTACATCAAGTCTTTCCAGTCTTTCTAGCAACAGAGAACTTAAGTTATTAAATTTTTTTCTACTCTGACAATATAAACATGGGAGGTACAATGGCACATCAGCAAAATACTTTCTAAAAACACCACCGATTTTTTTTTTTATGAGCAAGACTAAACCCTGGTGTCTAAGAATGCACATGTGACTGAGGAAACATTTTTAAATGCAAGAAATGATTACTACAAATGTTAAAAGTCATTTTTTGAGGGAAGGAAAGGAACCTATAATTGGGAGGTACTTTGAAGATGGCTGACAGATTTTTTTTTTGCACAGTAAGCCAGTATTTTTTTATTTACTAGTATTATTTTCTAATATATTTTGCCCTAAAGGCCTTTTTGTATATACAATTTTTAAAGGTTACACTCTATTTATAGTTATTACAAAATATTGGCTAGCTGATAAAAGTTCTATTTCCTGACCATACTGTGATGACAACAAAGTTTACTACATAATAATTCACGAAGTTCTGTTTGTCTTACGTGGTTTTGCTTCCTATATAAAATAAGAAAAAGATCAATCGAAAATAAAAATTACTGTCCCCAGGGACAATATACCCTTGAACCAGAAATATTAGTAATCTATAATCTAAAAATAACACTGATCAAACATATGCAAGGATAAAGAAATGTAAAATTAAACTATGCAAATCTAAATATAATCTACTTCAAAAAGGCATCGAAAAGAAAGCTAATCTTTTTTAACAAATTTTATTCTTTTTTTTTTTTCCTTGGTCGCCCTACTGCAGCTTGCAGGATCTTAGTTCCCCGACCAGGGATTGAACCCTGGGCCCTCAGCAGTGAGAGTGCGAAGTCCTACCACTGGACCACCAGGGAATTCCCAAGAAAGTTAATCTTTTATATATTCAATATCCTGTGATAAACCATAATGGAAAAAAGTATATATGTGAAACTGAATCACTCTGCCATATAGCAGAAATTAACAACATTGTAAATCAACTCTATGTCAATAAAAAAATATCAAAGTTGAAAAAAAAAAGCTTATCAAATTCAGCATGCCACTTTAAGAAAGTAAAGGCACTTGAAGTGCATTTAAAAAGACTTCCATTTAATAGACAAGGGGGTTCCGTTTACAGTTTCTACTTACTTGAGCAAGGTATTTACACACCAGTAAATAAAGAAGTAAATCTGGGGGAAGGTAAGTGCTGTGTATTATATCCCTTCCAACTTAGAGATTAACAAATACCAGCATATTAACAGATCAGAGAAGTTTTACAGTAAAGAATTCCAGTCATTGTGCTTCCCTGGTGGCACGGTGGTTGAGAGTCCGCCTGCCGATGCAGGGGACACGGGTTCGTGCCCTGGTCTGGGAAGATCCCACATGCCGCGGAGCAGCTGGGCCCATGAGCCATGGCCGCTGAGCCTGTGCGTCCGGAGCCTGTGCTCCGCAATGGGAGAGGCCGCAACAGTGAGAGGCCCGCGTACCGCAAAATAACAAAAAACAAACAAACAAAAACCTATAGTTAACATTATACTTAATGAGAAGCTTTCCCACTAACATCAGGTACAAGGCAAGGACGTCCTCTCCCACCACTCCTTTTTAACATCGTTCTGGAAGTCTTAGCTAAGCAATAAGACAAGAAAAGGAAATAAAAGCTATACAGATTGGGAAGAAAGAAACAAAACCATCTTTGTTCACAGATGACAAAATCATCTATGTAGAAAGTCTGAAAGTATCAACAAAAACACTCTTAAACAATTATAGCTAGGTTACAGGATAAAGGTTAATATATAAAAGTCAATTTCTGGGCTTCCCTGGTGGCACAGTGGTTGAGAGTCCGCCTGCCGATGCAGGGGATATGGGGTTCGTGCCCCGGTCTGGGAAGATCCCATATGCTGCGGAGCGGCTGAGCCCGTGAGCCATGGCCGGTGAGCCTGTGCGTCCGGAGCCTGTGCTCCACAACAGGAGAGGCCACAGCAGTGAGAGGCCCATGTACCGCAAAAATAAAAAAAAGTCAATTTATTTCCTATATACCAGCAATGAACAAGTGGAATGTGAAATTAAAAACATAATGCCATTTACATTAGCACCCCTAAAAATGAAATACAGTTGACCCTTGGACAACACAGGTTTGAACTCTGTGGATCCACTTACATTCGGATTTTTTTTCAATAGTAAATACTACAGTACTGTACAGTCTGTGGTTGGCTAAATCTACAGATGCAGAACCATGTGTGCAAAAGAACAGCGTATACAGAGGGCTGACCATAAATTTTTTTAAGTAATTTTATTTTATTTATTTATCTTTTGGCTGCATTGGGTCTTCGTCGCTGTGTGTGGAATTTCTCTCTAGTTGCGGCAAGTGGGGGCCACTCTTTGTTGCAGTGCGTGGGCTTCTCACTGAGGTGGCTTCTCTTGTTGTGGAGCATAGGCTCTAGGCATGCAGACTTCAGTAGCTGCAGCACGTGGGCTCAGTAGTTGCAACATGCGGGCCCTAGAGTGCGCAGGCTTCAGTAGTTGTGGCTCACGGTCTCAGTAGTTGTGGCTCGCAGGCTCTAGGGTGTGCGGGCTTTGGTAGTTGTGGCGTGTGGGCTCAGTAGTTGTGCCTTGCAGGCTCTAGGGTGTGTGGGCTTCAGTAGTTGTGGCGCAAAGGCTTAGCTGCTCTGCAGCATGTGGGATCTTCCCCGGACGAGGGCTCAAACCCATGTCCCCGCATTGGCAGGCAGATTCTTAACCACTGTGCCACCAGGGAAGGCCCTGACTATAAATTCTATGTGGATTTTCAATTCAGTGGAGGGTTGCCACCCCTAACCCCCACATTGTTCAAGGTTTAACTGTACTAAGGTATTGACCAAAATATGTACAAGGAAGAAAACTACAAAACTAATGAATGAAATCAAAGAACTAAGTAAATGGAGAGATATTCCACGTTCACAGATAGAGAAACTCAATACTGTCAAGATGTCACTTATTCCCAACTTCAATCTGAAGATTCAGTGCAACCGCAATAATCAAAATTCCAGCAGGAGTTATTTTACGGATATCGACCAACTAATTCTAAAATGTATACAGAAAAAGGCAAAAGACCCACAACATCCAAGTCAACACTGAAGCAGAACAAAGTTGCAGGACTGACACTACTGAACTTCAAGACTTACTATAAACACTACAGTAGTAACCAAGACAATGTGGTGGTATTAACGAAAAAATAGACAAATAAATCAATGGAACAGAATAGAGAGCCCACAAACAGTTGAAAGATTACGTCCACACAATAACCTGCACACACGTTTACAGCAGCTTTATTCATATCACCAAAACGTGGAGGCAATCGATGTCCTTCAGTAGGTGAATGGTTAAATAAACCACCCAGACAACGAATTATTATTCAGTGCCAAAAGGAAATGAGGTATTGAGCCATGAAAAGACACAGAAGAACCTTAAACACATATTACTAAGTGAAAGAAGGCATTCAGAAAAGGAGACATACTGTATGATTTCAACTATATGACAATCTGGAAAAGGCAAAACTATAGATAGTGAAAAGATCAGTGTTTGCCAGGGGTTTGGGGGGCAGAGAAGATAAACAGGGAAGTGAAAATACTCTGTATGTTACCTTGATGATGGATACATGTCATTATATATTCATCCAAAGCCATAAAATGCACAACACTAAGAGTGAACCATAATATAAACTATGGATTTGGGGTGATTATGATGCGTCAATGTAGGTTCATCAATTATAAAAAACGTCCCTCTCTGGTGGGGGATACTGGTAACACAGGAGGCTGTGCATGGGTGGGGCAGGGGATAAATGGGAACTCTCTGGACCTTCTCTCACCTTGCTATGAACTTAAAACACTCTAAAAAAAAAAGTCTTGTTAAAATAAATAATAAAATACAAAACGTTAATAAAAAAACATGATCAGGGCTTTCCTGGTGGTACAGTGGTTAAGAATCTGCCTGCCAGTGCAGGGGACACGGGTTCGAGCCCTGGCCCAGGAGGATCCCACATGCTGCGGAGCAACTAGGCCTGTGTGCCACAACTACAGAGCCTGAGCTCTAGAGCCCGCGAAACACAACTACCGAGCCCACGTGCCACAACTATTGAGCCTGTGCTCTAGAGCCTGCAAGCCACAACTACTGAGCCCACGTGACACAACTACTGAAGCTTGCACGCCTGGAGCCCGTGCTCCACATCAGGAGAGGCCATGACAGTGAGACGCCCTCGCACTGCAACGAAGAGTGGCCCCCGCTCACCGCAACTAGAGAAAGCCTGCGCACAGCACTGAAGACCCAACACAGACAAAAATAAATAAATAATTTATTTAAAACAAATAAATAAATGAACATAATCAAAACAAAGCTTTAAGAATACAGGTATAAAGTGAGAATAGTAACTATCAGGCATATATTAACATAGCCCCAAAATGTAAAAAAAAAAATGTTTTAAGATGCATTTGCATCTTACTCTTTCTTGTTTCTTTCACAGGTAATTCAAGTAAATAGAAAAAGAAAGCTAACCATTTAGCAAATATTCTTATTTCTAAGTCAACTTAAATTCTTAAAAATAACCAGCATTTAAATATTTTGTAATAATAGTATTTATATCATTTCTAAAATGTATAGTTTTATATTTTCTTTTATAAATTTTTTTTCCCCATTTGTGCCAATAAGCAGAGTAGTTAAATTGGATCAGCTTTACTTTTCAGATCCAAATTGCTAGTCCACTGTATTCTTCCTTAGCTTAAACCTATTTTCATTGTCTTAAGGCTCTTCAGGTCTAGGGCTTCCCTGGTGGTGCAGTGGTTAAGAATCTGCCTGCCAATGCAGGGGACACGGGTTTGAGCCCTGGTCCAGGAAGATCCCACATGCCGCGGAGCAACTAAGCCCGTGCTCCACAATTACTGAGCCTGCGCTCTAGAGCCCGCGAGCCACAACTACTGAGCCTACGCACCTAGAGCCCGTGTTCTGCAACAAGAGAAGCCACCGCAATGAGAAGCCCATGCACCACAAGGAAGAGTAGCCACCACTCGCTGCAACTAGAAAAAGCCCGCGCACAGCAACGAAGGGCCAACGCAGCCAAAAATAAATAAATAAATTTAAAAAAAAAAAAAAGAAAGAAAGAAAGTGGACTGTACGAGAGCAGGAGGAAGCACGGTACAAACCCAGTGAGGCTACCTATGTAGGGAGAGTTAGGGAAAATGGGCCTAGATGTGGCTGAAGACATAGATTTTCTCATTTACTATCCATTTCAATATGATCAATATTTAGTTTATTCTAAGCATTCAAAATCCCAACACTGGGTTATTCAGTCCTTCTTATATTCATTAAAAACTTAGAATGCAGGGAAACACAAGACTGATTAACTCTGACAGTCTGCAATCACCAGAAACATAATTTTTATTCAATTACAAAGCTGAGAGAGAAAAAGAATTTGAATTTTCTTGCTTAAATAAGTAATACTATATGTAGGAGATTTTAAAAAATACATACATACGTAAGAAATTCTACCTGATAGGACTGCATTTTTAAAACTCTGGAGATGAAGACATCAAGATTCCTGAAACTTTTTCAACTTAAAGAAACCAAAACGGCAACTACAGAAGTGGGAAATCTTCTCCAAACCAGTAATTTTTGCATTCAACTTCTAGAGGGATCAAAGATGAAAATGGATTCTTTCCACAGGTTTAAATTTTGGTATATCCCGTGAGCAGTACCAACTACAGGAAACGTACTCAGCAAACTCACCATCTGCATAACAGACTCCCTTAACCGTGTCTCCTCTTCAGTCAGGAGCGTCAACTCCTTGCACACCATGGCAGCAAGCCCCACGTCCAAGCATTCCGGATCTGCTGCCATCTTGAAAATTAGTTCCTCGTGCGAGAAGACACAATGGCGCCTCAGCCGACGGTAATGACTGACACACTGACGGCCAATGGGCAACTGAAAACAAGATTCTCAAATTAAATTACTTGCTTATAACACATTCCAGAACAGAACCACTACTTACCCCCCAGATCCTCTCTTTTATTATAAAGAACAGAGAATAACAATGTCCATTTGAACATAAGAGGTAACTGTAAGTGTTAAACCTCTACCGCCCAGCAAGAATTTCAAAGGCCTTCCCACAGGAAATTCCCACAATTTGAGATGCTGAGCTTCTGGCCTAAGCTGATTTTCTACTCATTATGTACCTCAAGAAGTATGAGTTCCTTGATATATAAATGAGGCAGCAAACTCTTTTAGACCAGTCTAGTATGAGACTGCTCTTATAGAAAAAAGAAAAAAAATTTTCAGGCTATCAAGGGATAACTGGACATATTCAGCATTGATGTTTCCACAGAACAAACAACAGATGCTACTATCAATACAAGGTAGGGAGGGAGGGAGGGGAAAAAAGCGCTACTTAAGCAGTTCACATGGACTAACTTTATTTTTTATAAGGACCAAAGCAAAAGACAATTTAGATTTTAGCATCTAGAGATTATTTTTAAAACTACCAGTCTGGCCTAAAGAGAATTCAAAGTGAAACCATGAGATTATATACTTTAATTTTCCTAAGTGAAATAAATCACTAAATGATCACTTTTCATAAATCAACAGCTACACTTTTTAAGATAACTTCTGAAAATCTATCAAGCTTTAAAACAAATTGATACTAGCTATGCTACACAAACTCTCTCTCTCCAGCTTCCTTCCTTCCCTCAAGTGGAAAAACCCGGGTGTCTGAAGTTTTGGTTTGCATTTGAAAACCATAATATAAAAGAGAAAAAATTAGAAAGTGGACCTTTAAGAACACCTTTTAGAGCTCGCCTCCATTCTGAGAAAGGCAAAAGGGAATCACAGGAATCAGAGTTCCAGAGTACAAGACTATCATTATTTCCGGACTCTTCCAAAGAAACAAATCTTTCCCAAGAAAATATACATACTGAGCTTATGATTGGCGACTATCTTGTCTAATAACAATATACAATTCTTTCATTTCTTAATTCTCAGAAATTTTCTCTTTAAACATTTCTCAAATACTTAAAACAAGAGCAAGAAGAAAAACAAAACTGTAGGATTTGCAGTTTTTAATTATTATTGATACAATATACAAGGAAGCCACATAAAGTACAACTGATTGTCCGCTGTGGCTTATAAAAATCAGTACCATCACTTCATTCCAGATATAAAGCTGCTTTTACTTTTCATTTATATCACCCTTCTCTCACAAATATCATCTCACTTGTTTGAGGTTAAGTGAACCTTAGCATCTTTACACAGTAGGTAAAAAAAAATTAGGACCAGTGAAATTAAAAGTGCTGTCCCGGGACTTCCCTGGTGACGAAGTGGTTAAGAATCCACCTGCCAAGGCAGGGGACACGGGTTCAAGCCCTCATCCGGGAAGATCTCACATGTCGTGGAGCAACTAAGCCCGTGCACCACAACTACTGAGCCTGTGCTCTAGAGCCCGCAAGACACGACTACTGAGCCTGTGCACCTAGAGCCCGTGCTCCGCAACAAGAAGCCTGCACACCACAACCAAGAGTAGCCCCCGCTTGCCACAACTAGAGAAAGCCTGCGTGCGGCAACGAAGACCCAACAGAGCCAAAAAAACCCACAAAAAAAAAAAAAAAAACAAGAAGTGCTGCCCCGGCTTCCCTGGTGGCACAGTGGTTGAGAGTCCGCCTGCCGATGCAGGGGACACGGGTTCGTGCCCCGGTCCGGGAAGATCCCACATGCCGCGGAGTGGCTGGGCCCGTGAGCCATGGCCGCTGAGCCTGCGCGTCCGGAGCCTGTGCTCCGCAACGGGAGAGGCCACAACAGTGAGAGGTCCGCGTACCGCAAAAAAAAAAAAAAGTGCTGCCCAAGGGACTTTCCTGGCGGTCCAGTGGTTAGGACTCCATGCTTCCACGGCAGGGGCTGCGGGTTTGATTCCTGGTTGGGGCACTAAGAGCCCACATGCCACGTGGCACAGCCAAAAAAAAAAAGTGCTGTCCAAGATCAAACGTCAATAATAGTGATCACATTAAAGGCAGAAATCATCTCTAACTCATCTCTGAATCACCTCCATTTCCCACCCTACACCCACCTAGCCAAGGAACAAGTAAATCATAAATACATAATACATGTTAGCTGAGGTTTTAAAATAGAGTTCAAGTCCAAGGCAAAGTCCTAACCTCAGTCTTGCTCCTGCTGCTTTCTAACAAGTAAGAAGTTTAGAATTACTAGGTCATATAAGATTGTTCATTATACAATTTCATTCATTAGCCAAGGAAACAATATTGTTAATCATGAAATTTAACAAATTAAGGTGCCCACAGAAAATATAAGATTCAATATTACTAAAAAATATCCCCCCAAATGTTACGAGAGGTGACAAAAAAAAACAGCTTCACTAAAAGAAAAATAGAGTCAAAGAGTGTATGATAGGGCTTCCCTGGTGGCGCAGTGGTTGAGAGTCCGCCTGCTGATGCAGGGGACACAGATTTGTGCCCCAGTCCAGGAAGATCCCACATGCCGCGGAGCGGCTGGCCCGTGAGCCATGGCCGCTGAGCCTGCGCGTCCGGAGCCTGTGCTCCGCGACGGGAGAAGCCACAACAGTGAGAGGCCCACGTACCGCCAAAAAAATAAAAATAAAAAAATATAAGAGTGTATGATAGGTTTGCAGTCTTTTCCCCACCGACATGACGCAAAAATAACTAATTACTTTTTGATATCTACCTCATTTAAAAGCAAAATAGCAATCAATGGTAATACCATTTACACAAAAGTGCAGCCCACAGAGATCTCAATATTATAGCTACCCTTTAAAATAAAATTTTTAAAAAAGAATATAGAAAACATAAAATAGCAGGAAGAATAAAATCACCTAATTATCAGAAGGAAAAAAATAAAGGAATATTTTAAGATAAAAATCAGAACTGGATATTTTAAGATAAAAATCAGAGCTAGATATTTGTAAACGTGGTACAATTAATTCTTGAAAAGATGTGGTCACCCTTCTAAAATCCAAAAGCACTCAGAGAAAGCAAAGACTAGAGGAATTACATTCTCAGAAAAAGATTCAGAAAACATCAACTGCCCATTTAAAATTCAAATAAAATGAGAAAGTAGCAAATGAGAAGTAACGAACTATAAAATCTTCCAAATAAAAACTACCTGGAACTCTGTAAATGGCAACAGACATTCGAGTTTCCACTGAAATATCCATGGGCCCTCCCCTCCCCAGCTAACCAAGCACAGCAATTAAGATGCATTTTCCAGGGCTGTTAGTAGACACAACAGCTACTTGCTATCGAACAGACCCAGTCAGCAGTACAGAAGTTCACAGCCTCAGCGAAGTTGTAGCCTTGATTGAATCCAGAGTGATAGGCCCGAGGAAATGTCACAACAAACTCGCCAGCACACTGATTCGTCCTATACACCTAAATGCAAATTGGGAACAGGGTACAAAAACAAAACAGAAGAAAAACAACAGAAAAGGGAGACATTTTATGTCAGTTTCAGAAGCATTTTTCAAACTTTAAAACAATAAAGCATTAACCTACACAGACCAAAAAACAGTATCAGGCTTGAAGAAGCAGTCAGTTTCACCTTAAAATAGTCACTATAAATTATAGTAATTCATGGGCTTCCCTGGTGGCGCAGTGCTTGAGAGTCCGCCTGCCGATGCAGGAGACGCGGG